GCTGGACTCTCCCCAGGAGTGCCATGTCTCTCTTGTACTGGGGAGCCCAGAAGTGGACACAGTACTCGAGGTGAGGCCTCCCCAGGGCTGAGGAGAGGGGCAGGATCACCTCCCTCCACCTGCTGGCAACACTCTGCCTAATGCACCCCAGGCTCCCATGGGCCACCTTGGCCACAAGGGCACACTGCTGGCTCATGTTTAACTTGTTGTCTACCAGCACTCCTAGGTCCTTCTCTGCAGAGCTGCTTTCCAGCAGGTCAACCCCCAGCCTGTGCTGGTGCATGGGATTATTCCTGCCTAGGTGCAGGAGCCTGCACTTGCCTTTGTTGAACTTCAGGAGGTTCCTCTCCGCCCATTTCTCCAGCCTGTCCAGGTCCCTCGGAATGGCAGCACAGCCTTCTGGGGTGTTAGCCTCTCCCCCCAGTTTAGTATCATCCCCAGTTTAGAGGGTGCACTCTGTCCCTTCCTCCAGGTCATTGATGAATATATTGAACAAGACTGGACCCAGGACTGACCCTTGGGGGACACCACTAGCCACAGGCCTCCAACTAGACCCTGCGCCACTGACCACAACCCTCGGAGCTCGGCCATCCAGCCAGTTCTCAATCCACCTCACTGTCCACTCATCTAGCCCAGGCTCCCTGGGGACTGGGATGTGGTTGTTGCCCTTGCAGCCCGCGCCTTGTGCTGAACAGGGCTTGTGCAACTCTTGCACAGTCCGGTTCTCTGCACTTGGGGACCTCCGTAATGCAGCAGCAGCTCTCCCTGTATGAGAATTGAAACCATTAAAAGCTGGCCAGCAGCCAGAAAATGGGAACTTCCCCAAACAGCCTCATGCTCCCTCCACAGTGTCCAGCTTTTCCTGGGAAGGGGAGTGGGTGAGGCTCCAAGAAGGCAAGAGGTTAATGCAGCACCAGCCACAGCTCCTGCAGGCTGGAACACATCCACAGGGATGCAGTGAGCTAACTCCGTTGCAACACAACAGACTCCTGCAGACAGACCACATTGTGTTGCCTCAGTGGGAGTATAGCAATAGCATTTTTAAACCTCAAAACACCTTTCTTAAGGATGTCCCTAAAATATGCCTTCCCCAGCACCCAAGCACTTTGTCTTGCCCCAGTGAGAGCCATCCTGGAGCATCACATTACTCATCAGGACCCATGTTGGGTTGCTCAACAACTCTCTATGTGGAGGTAGGTGCAAAAGCAGCCTCCTCTGAGCTAGGCCCTTGCTTCCCTTCGGTGTCCTTCACCGACAGACAGACAGGTGGGCAGCCACTCTGTGCTTGCAGTGTTCAGTTAAAGGTAAGGTGTGAAGGCTGTGGGATCTGAGGTGCCTATTTGCACACATGGAGCGAGAGGTGGTGAGCAGGGGTACATGGTGACAGATGGGGTGTTGTTTGCTGGCAGTTGTAGCTGTCTGTGCACCCTTTGTGTGATGGACTCATGTGGCTTACAGGCTCCTGGGCAAGAAAAATGCACAGAAATGCTTCAGATCACAAGGATGGCTCTAAGCAACAAGCCCATTTCTTTGATGTAATAATTTTAGAGTATTTTCCTGACCCTTCTCCCAGCCAGCTCTTTAAAACTTGATAGGAAAAGTCTATTTTCAAGCCTCACTATGAACTAGTGTCTGCGGTTTGGGAGTCATATTTTGAAAACTATCTAGCAATAATGGGCTTTTCTGTCCTTGGCCAGGCACCCCCTTAGGTGATGTCCCACACTTCCTGATCAGTCAGGATTTTCTCTTCCAGTGCCTGAAACAAGGTTCCACAGCAGAGCTTTTAGATGGCATAGTATGAAGTGTTTTGCAGCTTTTCCATGAGAAGTTATTCAGGGAAGGGCTGCCATCTAGGAAGGGAAGCTTGTCTCTCTCTTGGGGTCCAAGGAAGGAGGAATCAAGGGTACATCTCTCACATGCGGTGATGGACGTGAGCCACCAGCAGGCAAAAGAATCTGAAAGAGGGGCTCTGGGAGAGCCTGTCCTCCCAGCCCAGGGGCAATATTTATGTATTGGCATGAGTATCAAATGCAGAGATCCAGCTGGAGTTTGCGGTGAAATCTTCCTTCCCTTTTCATCATGGTATAAGACCTCCTTCCCTACTTGCTGGCCAATGTGCTCCTAGGAGGCTCTTGCAGACTGGCCAGCCAGCCTGGCTTTGCAGGTACACACCATTAAACTGCTCTTTCTAAAAGCAGCACAGTCTCACCATCATCCATGTGTGTGGATCCCCTTGCTGTTGGCTTGTTAGGTTGCCGTCCAGTCCCTCACGTCATCCCAGACTGACTGAACACCTCCTCTCTGCTCCTTGCTCCCTGTCTCCATCCCTTCTTCTCCTTCCCTTGTGATCAGGACATAGCCCAACCCCAAGGTGACCCTACTTCCTTAAAAAAGGGGATATTATAAAGCATTTTGAGAAGCTCAGCAGCCTCTGAAGGGTCTCACTGGGAGGTGGAGTTGGCTAGAGCAGAGGCATATTATGGTTTTGATCTCCTCAGCTGCCTTTTCTGGGGAATCTTGGAGGAGGACCAACCAGTCCATGACCTTCTCCTTTCAGCCGAGTGGAGAATGTCCAGCTGATCTCCATTCTGCTCACCCTGGATTTGCAGGGTGAAGACTGACTTGTCTTTGCCTTGCCTTCCTTTCCTGTGCTCAGCAGTGCAACCAGATGGAGGAACCCCCTGCGATGGAGTGTACCCCTGTAGTTGCTAAGGATGGCATGCTCTTCCCAAAGTCCTGATAAAGAAAGGAAGTAAGGGAGCCAGTGACTATCATCTTCTGCATTTTCACTTTGGACTGACTTTGTGGCCTTAAAACTGTTGTCCTGGGAGACCACAACCACTTCTTTAAATTTCCTTGTATTGTATTTCTACCAAAGGAGTAATTCCCCCACCGCCACCACCATGGGCCAAATTCTCCCAGCTCTGGCAGGGAAAGTCCACAGAAAAAAAGAATGATGAGGAATTTGGTTTGAGGCCAGATGTAGCAAGCCAGGTCAGTCAGAGATGTCAGAGTGGCTGGGGACCTCCAGGTCTCCCAGCTTATGGCCATTATGCTGAGCTTCACTCCCCAGGCCTGTCCCCTGTGCTTCTTGCACCAGTATCAAGTGGGTACAGCTTTTTCTTATTGTGTGACATAGTTACCAATGGAGCAACGTGCCATAGCCTGACAATAGTCCTTTCGTGTACCAGTGTGCTTCTTTGGTATTTTCCCCATACGCTTCTAAGCGGTTAGCTTTGTGGCTTTAGCTTGGACCCAGACACTCAGAGGAAAAGCTACATCAGATGCTGTACTCAAACGGTAGTTTGACCCTCTGGGCTTCCATTTGCACTTAACCAGCAGACTCCGGGGCTCAGCCATGAATTCCGGGATTCAGATTTGGTCTTTGAGCTCTCGGCTGTTCCAGATGTGCTCCTTCCCCTTGCCAGCATTTTCACCAATGTTCCAAGGTAACATTGCACTTCCTTGTGTACTCTTTTAGCCATGAAGTCAGGGACTGTAGTGCAAGGATATCACACAGAATAGAGATAAGTCAGCCTCTTCTCTTGTGGTGGTTCTCATCCCTCTGTCTGATTTCCGGTGGTACTCCAGAAAACAAAGTATTAGGTGTGGATAGTTCTCTAGCGTGCTTCTCGGGGGGCTAGAGGGAACTTTTGCAGGTGCTCAGAAAGTCACAGCGTGCTGTGGACATACCACAGAAGCTGGCCTCATGCAGACACTGACCTCCATCCTGGTTTAGCAGAACATACCAGAGCTTTTCTCTGTCAGACCCATTGCAATCTGCAACAGTTCCACTTCCCATTACTCTAATGGGAATGCAGGAAAAGCTGCTAAATATTCTGTACATCCAGGCATGTTATAAATGTTTCAGTAAAAGGTGGTCTTCAGTGGAAAAATGTGTTTTGGCAAAACACAGTTTTTCAGCACTAAATGTCTGTTTGCCGTGGAACTTGGTGGAAAAATATACTGAAACAATCCTCAAGCAAGCAAAATCAGGTGGTGATCCCAGCACTATCCCAACAACAAACCTGCATGTGTCCTGGTTCTGTCTGAATTGGTGCTCTCCTTATCTAGAGATGCTGCAGTGGACATAAAAGGAAAACTGCAGTGGAATAGCCTTGTCTCCCTGGTTCTTTTCCTTCATTCCCAGCTTTCACCTTGCATACCTTGCCATCCTGGGGTTCCCAGAGCCACTGGCTCATGGCATTGCCCAGAGAGCAAATGCTAGGGAAAAGATGAGCTGCTTAGTACAAGCACCAGATAAACTGGCCAGGAGGAGAGCGATGCTAGAAAAGTGCCTGACCTGTCTGAAGAGGAGGTCTGGAGGACTATCTAGGACAGGACAAGGACTTGATCAGCTGTGAGACAGAGCCTTGCACTTCATGGAGTCAAACGCTACGAATTTTAAGAGAAAAGCCACTTGGATTAAAAAAAAAAAAAAAGTAGTAGGGTGGACACCTCTCGCCAGCCTTTATTGTTCTGACACATGTAACGTGGTATGAAAGGGTGTGCAACCCAAGCCTGGGAGGACCTGGGGGCTCCATGTCCTGTGGGAATTATTAATGCAGGTGTTTTTACTGCAGGATCTGTTCTTCCTCCCATGGCACCCTGAGAAGGCAGCTCCCTATCTGGCTTCCTTGACCAGGGCCAAGACAGATCCTCTGTGTCTCCAATGTATTCTTTGTTACTCATATCTTAACTCCCTAAATGTTATGTATGTGCATATAAGGTAT